TGTTCCCAGGAAGTCGAATTGCTTTCTATAAGCCGAATCTTCCTCCCACACATTTAATCGCAACAACCTCTTGACAAAAGTCAATCTTTGATTTTGAAAACTGTTTTGATTTTGAAAAATAAGCGTAGAGATTAAGAGAGATATTCCGAAGATATTAAGGGATTCTCCCGTTAGAATTGAATCATCGCGACAGCTCTCGGCTTTTAAAAAGTTTAGCTAAGCATGACAAAAGTCATACTTAGCATTTTGAAAACAAAGCTTGAAAATAAAAGAAAAAAGGGAAAAACTTGAAAAGTAAAAAGAGAAAACTTTAATAAAACTAGAGAGAAAAGAACAATGTAAAGATAATTGTTTTATAGCCTCCCAAAGCCTAAGAGATAAACAAAGAAAATAAATAAAATAATCCTAAAAGATAATTGTTTTAAATTTAAATTCAAACCTAAACTAGTCTCCTAATACAACTCTAGTCGTCAATCTTCCAGAAGACGTGCAAAGGAAGTATTCTAGAAACCGTCGCTGATTTGACCTTCTAGAAACTACCACGTCAGACCGCGTCATGCCTAGAGTCGTGCCCATGTCTCCAACCGTGACCAAATAATAAAAAAATGCAGAATGCGCCCGTTTTGTCACAAATTCTGGAAATTAAGGACTTGCACGAAAACAAACATAACACAACCAATTTAGCAGTAATAATTCCTCAAAACCGAAGAATTAACGAGCAAAGATTAACGATTATGAACACTCATCACTCCATAAACACTTCCTCAACAAGTTCACCATTCAAAAAAGCATTCAACTTGTCGAAGCTTCCAATTGTTTTGAAAGACCAAAGATAACACAATGTTCACTGTGGTAGATTTTACAACAGGGCTAAAAGTATCCTGAAATCTTACCCTAGAACATGAGAAAAACCCTTAACAACAAGCCTCGCCTTGTATCGAGTTACCGGGCCATGAGGATTCTTTTTCACTTGAAACAACCATTTACATCCAATTGTTTTCTTTTCACTAGGTAGAGGTTCCAAAGTCTAGGTTTTATTCTTAAGAAATGCCTCATATTCAACAAAAAAAACAACTTCCTTCCATTTGGGTGATGCTAGGGCCTGTCCAATCGTCACTGGTTCACACTCATCAGGAGTTGCTTTCTTCGCATGAAAAATTTTCGGTTTGAAAATTTCATGTTTACTGCAAGTCATCATATTGTGAGTGTTAAGCATCATTCTTGTATCATCATCAAGAGAACCATCAAACCGAGCACTAGGTCCCAGATCAAAAACAATTTCACCACGATCATGTCAAGAGGAAATGTCAATGCTAGGACCACCTGACGTAGCACTTAGTGCATTAGGAGCACTATTTTGCTGGTCATGCACACCCGCTTCCTCAACCAAAGTGTTTGGAACACCACAAACACCTGGGTCTACGGCTTGGAAACTTGGCACTTAAACCAATGGATTAGAAGTATTACATACTCCTGGATCCACAATATGAACCAGGGTATCAAATAGCGTTCCGAAAACGCTATAGTGGCCGCGATATTGCGGTCGCGCCACTGTCCGAAATCGCTATTTATGGTTTTTGCAGTGGGTCATGGATTCACACCGATCGCGATGGATTGCATCCGAAATTTAACGGGAAACAGACGATTACGCTGATAAAGGGACGCAATCATTGATATTCAACTGTGATTTCAAGCAAAATACAAAAATCAAAATGCACTGCAATCATCAACTCATCGTATAGAAAACAAAAAAGAAAATGAAGGGAATATATTCCCTGCAACTTGTGAGCCCACAAGTATAGTGAAAAGTGAACTGAAAACTGAAAAGAAAGAAAAATTACTTACAAGTTACAACCAGAGAGTGGGACAAAACAAAATAGGTTATTTAATCAACCGTGAACTCAAATACCCACACAATACACATCTTACCAAAAACCAATAGAGAAGGGGAAGAGCCGGAAAAACAAAGGCCAGTCAGTAGGAAGTCTTGTGTCCGTTGAGCTTCGCCGTCGGTGAAGGAGTAGATCAATGCATCAAGCATCTCGCTTCCATTTAAGAAGGTATATTTTTGCTGCTTAGTTTAAGAAGATTGAAGATGAAATCTTTACTAGAGGATTTGAGGTTTCGATTTCGAACATGCAAGACTAAAATAGGTGGGGTAAAAACTGAAAAAAAATTAACTGGGCAATGGGAATGAGAAGAAACGAAGAAGATGGTTTTGAGAGAAGTGGGAACTGGGAACTGGGAGTGGGAATAGCTGAGAAACTTCTCGGGACATCTCTTGGAAGTTGGATACTTGGATATTTGATTTGTTTTTCTTGATAATAATGATAATATGTAATTTTTTTTACACATTTGATTAGACAGGAATCATCCAAATATCTAATAAAAATAGACCCTTAAAAAAATTTACAAAGAGCCAAAAAGCCCGTCCCCAACTAAAAAATTAAAATACCCAATGCCCCAGTCACTAGCCAGTCAACCTATAAATTGAAATGGTCAACGCCTAACCACTACCCAATCGGCCTTAAAATTGGAATATCTTAATGCTTGCAGATTGATTAATTGAATCTAGTGAGTTATTTCTTCTTCTCTTTAACCTTTTAAATTATTTATTTTTTTAAGCTTTGAAATGACATATTAAGATTTTTTTTATTTTGTTCAAGCATATTTTGATAAATATATATATAATATAGATATATAATAAATTGTTTAAAATCACAAATTCTTAAATTTAAAATTATTTTTTGTTAAATTAAAGTTTATATTTAGATTTAGATATACGATCCAAAAATTTGAATATTCGATTTTTTCATATTGAATACAAATAACGGTTTTAATAATCCAAATTTGAGAACTATATTATAAAAATCCACATATATTAAAAAATTCATCAGAATTTTTATATGTTCACTGGATCATACGTGCACTCTACCACCGTGTTACTAGAGATGAACATGAAACCCGAACCTGACACGACCCGATCGGTTTGGATTTTTTTAAAAAAAATCAGGGTCGGGTTGAGTTTTATATTAAAATATTCAGAGTCGGGTTTAGGATTATAATAATCCTACCCGATTCGACCTGAATAGTTAATGCATAATTATTATTATTTTTACTTTTTTGCTTTCCCCGTAATGCGTAGCATTTTCTATCAATTCAAAATATAAAAGAAAAAGATGAAGGAACCATCAAAACAAAACTAAGCTTGTCGGCAACTTTCATGGTTCCCGAGGGAGGTGAATATAATAGGCAAGCATGATATTAGGGTGTGGCCTGAAACTAGTGGATTGTCTTCACTTTTTTGTTTGTTTAATAAATGAGATAGGGTTATCTTATTTATACTTGATCTGCATTTTAAATTGTTTATTTAATGAGGCTAGTGTGATTTCTTAACTGTCACTAAATACTTTTTCAGTTCCAACGATTATTTTAGCAATTTGTTTAACTCATTTTAATGTTTTTCAAGCTTTTAACTCCTTTTTATTTACCAAACGTCAATGCAATCCACGTGGAACGCATGCGAGCAAACGGGGTCTTTGGGGCTGTTGTTGGGTCTGGTTTTCAAAGTGTAGAGGGCAAGTGACAACTTTTTTATGGCAGAGTCATCGGGGCCGACCAAGTGATATTAGGGTGTTGCTTCTAACTATTATTTTAAGTGTTTTTTATATTTTAAATTAAAAAATTTGTGGGTTTTAATAAATAAAAAAATAAATCGAGTCAGGTCGGGTCGGGTGAAAAATCAAATTTCGTCGGGTCGGGTCACGGGTAGAGATCTCCTTCTTCTCGGATCGGGTCAGGTGGACCAATAACCCGACCCAACCTAACCTGACCATGTCCATCCCTACGTGTTACTACTACCTGTGAACTGGAGCCACAGTAAATAATTTCTTATTTCTTATTTTCTCATTGATTATCTGACAAATTAGATGTCACAGTAATTACTACTTTACTTTTGTAAGCAAAAATTCTCTGTCACACTTCAAATATTTTATTTCTAATTTTATTATATAGTTTTGAAATTAAATGAAACAGCTAACTACATTCAATGAGTGTGAGTTATATTAAAAAAAGGAAAATAGGTAAAATTATTTCATGCACCACTTATGAAAATTTGTTTTACAAGCTAGGTTCTAAACCTTCTAAATTTCTAATATTGTCATATATTTTATTTAATTTCAGTTTAACTTATATTTTTGTTTACAAGCTAGGAAAATTATATTTTTGTTTAACTTTACGTATATATTAATTTCAGTTTTTATTGAAAGTGAAGCATGCCACCACGTATTGAAAAGTTTCTGACTGAAGGATTAGAAGGTGCACCGAGTAGAGATATAGGTTGGCACTTTGGAGATCCAGTTCCAAATACGAAAGGAAATGTTGTATGTAAACTTTGTGGCAAAGTTATGAAAGGAGGAATAGCACGGTTTAAAGAGCATAATGCTCATAAAACTGGTGAAGTCACACCATGTCCTAATGTCACTGGTTTGTGAATATGTGATAGTTATACTTTATAATTTCTTTAGAAAAAAGATACTTTATAATTATTTTTTAAATATTAATAATAAATATTATACATTATTAATAGTGTGAATTATATTTATTTGATTACAAGTATCATTAGAGAAAGCATGATGAAATTACTTAAAGAAGCCAAGGAAAAGAAAATGGACAAAAAAATGAGAACAAATGAATTCTTATCACAATTAAGGGAAAATAGGATGAATTCGAAGATGATGTTTCTGCTATGAGACAAGCCACTCAAGAAAGTATCCAATCACAACACGAATGGCATAGAAGAGAAGAATTCAGACGAAGTACAGGTGGTTGGGATAACATTTATGAAGAAGGGCGATCTTTTTCTCTTGGATCACGTGGAAGATATCGTAAAGAAAGATCTGAATTTAGTTTAAGGGGAACTATACCTAAATTGGTTAAGAGCAAAATCTCAAGACAACCAAAGGTTAGCGAGTCTATTTTAAAGACATTGCATAAAAAAGATGGGTGAAGCGGTCTCAAAATTTATAATATACGATCGCCTTCCTTTTCGATTAGCAAGCTCGCCTTGGTTGTATAACTTAATTCAAGTAGCAATAGAAGTTGGAAAAGGTGTAAAGCTCCCAACACCTTATGAGATTTCATATGTGTATTTGACATCGGAGTATGAACAAGTTCGTGAATGGGTAAATGAACTGAAGACGCATTGGAAACAACTGGGTGCAACTCTGATGTGTGATGGTTGGACCAATAGTTTAAATCAAATGCACATCATCAACTTCCTTGTTTATTGTAGTAAAGGAACTATATTTTGGAAATCTGTGGATGTCTCGAGCGTTCGTAGTAGATATGTTGAATTCTACTATAATTTGTTAGACAAAGTTGTTGAAGAAATTGGGGAAGAATATATTATCCAAATAGTGACCGACAATGAGGCAGCAATGAAAGCCGCTGGGAAAAGATTAATGTTGAAAAGAAACCATCTTTATTGGACCTCATGTGCAACTCACTGCTTAGATTTATGTCTTGAGGATATTGGAAAAAAGTCTAATGTAGCAAAAGTGTTAGAGGAAGCGAAGAAAGTGACATGCTTCATATATAATCGCATTTGAACCGTTGATTTGATGAAGAAGTATACACACGGTAAGCAAATTCTTTGCCCTGCTCTTACTCGATTCGCTACTTATTTCATACAGCTTGAGGAGATAACAATGCAAAAACAAGGTTTGAGAGAGATGTTTAAGTCAAAGGTTAGTATTTTATAATTAGTTAATGCAGTTACTGATTACTCAAATATAACAATATTTAATGATTTTATTAGTTCTAATTTTTAAATAAGTTAAATTATGTTACTGATTTTTTTCTTATTAAAATTTAGGAATTCAGAGAATCAAAATGGGGACAACAGAAATCAGGGCCTGCTTATGAAGCCAAAAAAATTGTTTTGGGAAAAGATTTTTGGAAAAAAGCCGTTGATATCATAAAAGTTTACAAACCCCTAGTCAAAGTGCTAAGACTTGTTGACGGTGATGAAAAACCAACAATTGGTTTTATTTATGAGGCCATTGATAGAGCTAAACGAGCAATTAAGGAAAATTGTCGATATTCCATCGAGTATGAAAAAATTATTGATAATAGATGGAATTTTATGTATTCCGACTTGCATTCAGCTGGTAAGATAAACTATATCATATAATTAAGAGTTATTTTTATTTTTTATTTTAAGTTTTATAATTTACATTATTATCATTTGAGCATAAATTATGATTAGGTTATTTTCTCAATCCTCAATTTTAATTTGGGGTGGAGCATTATGAGAATGTATTAGCAGAAACATTAGAATGAACAAGATCAGTGATTGAAAGATTAGAACCTTCTATTGATAATCAAATCAGAATGGTTAATCAGGTTAGATTCATTCAAGTACTCTTATTTGTAACTTAGTTAAATAATTTGAAATTGAAATATTTTTCTCATTTTAACTTAAACTTTTATTTATGCAGTTGTTACTATTTCGAAGTAAACACGAGACATTTGGTACTCCACAGGCACAAAGAGCTTGGAATCAAATGAATCCATGTAAATAGTTAATTATATTATTTATTTTATATTATTTAATTATATTTGTACATTTTGATGTTAGATTGAAATTTAAATAATATTTTGCAGCTGAGTGGTGGATGATATATGGCACATGTACTCCTGAATTACAACGATTAGCAATTAAAGTGCTTAGTCAAACAACTTCTGCATCAAATTGTGAACGAAATTGGATCACATTCAGCTATATTCACACCAAAGCAAGAAACAGGTTGAAGTACAAAAAACTTGAGAAACTAGTATTTACCTATTATAATATGAGACTTAAAATGAGGCATCAAAAAAGAATGAGAATTGATGATATAAACGCTAGTTACAATCCTATCAGCATTGATAATATCTTTGAAGATGTTGATTCACTATCAGAATGGCTTCAAGAGAAAGAGAATCCATTATTAGATGGTGAAAATGCTGGTGTGTTGCCTGTGGATACCTCAGATGATGAAATGAATGTTGATGATCAATCTCAACAACAAAATTTATCTCATTCAAGCTCTAGTGCAACACCAAGTCAAAGTGGTGATGGGCCCGATGGGGGTGGTTTAAGTCCAATTGATGACGATGATAGACAGAGCGGTGATGGAGTTGAATTTAGATCTTCTGATTGGTATGGAGAAGAATATGTTTATACAGGTCGTGGACATTTCTGTGCTTCATCTAGTAGAGAAAGAAATGAACCAAGAGCTCGATCAAAAGGGAAAGGGAAAGACACCAGAAAACATACTTCTGAAGGTTCTTCTTCCGGTAGAAGATCGACTCCTAGTAACCTGGTATAGTAATTCATCTACTAGCACTCATGGTTTTTATCCACAGAGACAATCTTCATATTTTCAACCTCCACATGGTTTTTATCCACAATTTCCTAATTATGGTGTGCCATATCAACCTCAAATGTACCCTCCGCCACTAATGTATCACCCACCTCCACCTCACATGTATCCTCCTCCTCAAGTATATCCTCCATCTCAATTATTTGAAAATCAAGGTGAAATTGTTACATTTTTTGGATATATTTTTGGACAAAGACCACATAGATCAAGTGGAGATCACTCTCAAAGTGAAGGTGAAGGATCTGATCTTCCTCGTTATTCCACTAATTGGTGAAACTGCTACCACCCCATTTCTAAGGTATGTTTGACCTACCAAAAGAATCTATGTTTCTATGACATTTAATTAGTTAGCATTTTTTGGATTTTAATTTACGTTGTTTGATTGGTTTTAGATTAGAAGAGAGACATCCATAATGAAGATTGTTAAACATCTTGACATAGTTAGGTTGCTTGCACGAGGTTTGTGTTGTTTTAAGTATTGTACATCTTAACATAGTTATGTTACATGAGGTATGTGTTGTTTTAATTGTTATACATCGTACTTTTATGCTTTTGCTTTAATGAAGATTGTTTTCTTACTTTAATTATCGCATAAGATATGTGTTGTTCTTTTTGCTTACATTTGAGATATATATATATATATATATATATATATATATACATTATTCTTAAGTTTTTCAATGAATGATAACTCTTTGATAAAATGGTAAATAATTTCTTATCTCATAGTTATAGCAAAGCTTATTTTTTATCCATTTTAATTTATTAGATTTTTCATATGTTGATAGTATTATTTGTTTTAAATAATAATGTATTCATAATGTCATCGTTAATTAATTATCTTATCCTATCATCGGATTTTTAAAGTCTTCTATTTGGTTAAATTATATTATATATATATGTTAATTTTGCTTAGAAAATATTTTAAAAATGATTATTTATAATTATAATTATTTTTATTATGTTTTAAGATAAGTTGTGCAAAATTTAAAAAAATTCACGACCGCGACACCTGCAGTGAACGCGATGACATCCGTTATTTTCGCAATCGCGATAAACGCGACGCGACCGAAAACGTGACCGCGAACGCTATTTAAACTCTAATCTGAACATTCAGTGCTTCAACTAAAATGCTTATATCTTAGCACAGGGCAGAGCCAAAATTAGATATAAACAATGATTGAAATATTAATTTTTTTAAAAAAAAATATAAGGACTTATTTAAACTTACAATTCATAAAACAAGAGCCACCATCACTGGCGGTAGACAAGAGCCATGAAGTAAGGGCACTGTCTTGGGTACAAAAAACTTAATACACATCACTCTCCACAACCAAGCCATCATCAAGAGCCACCATCACTGGAGGAGGTTGGACATCGCCATTAAGAAGTTTTTCCAACTAATGACTCCGAACATTGAGAAGGATCTGCTGCTTCCACAGAAGATAATTAGATTCATCGAGAGTCACACTCACTCTCTTATTGGTAAACATATTATCACCAGTGAGACCGGACGACCGAGAGCCACCAGAAACCGGCATTACCAGAGAGAGAGAGCACATACGAAGAAGGAAAAATAAAGAAACTCAGGACCCTTAAAAACCCAATGATACCATGTTGACTTTTCTCTAAAATTATACTTCAAAGGGTACTTTTATTAGAAAGAAAGCTACAATATAGGATTGCACTCACACCTCTAGACTCTTCTAGAGTAAAGCTATACAATGCTGACATATGCTATAACAGCCTAACAACCCACTCACACCAAACGCAGGACTCCCTACACGTTAACATGCATGCATACGCCAACCACATGAGGTGGCATAAACCTCATTCATGCATCAAATTGCTTACACCTTTGCCTAATCTCTTTGTTCGAGACTCCATAATAGTAATTTGACTTTCTTTTTTTCTATCATCAGTAGCTATGAATATATAAAATTTGTTGTAAAATATCACCAATTGTTACTCCAGGCCCAGCGGTTCAGGCGCAGGGAGACCAACCCATTTGTCTCAACTTCGAATATCTCCAGCAACATTTCCTTCATCAACTCTCATTTCCCTTTACCTAATTAGAGGGTAAAATATTAAATTAAATAAACTGAAATTAGAAAATATCCTCCTACCACGTAGTGACATGTGTCACTACCTAATTAGAAATTAAATTTATTAAATTGAATTAAATTTATAAATATTGAGGATAAAATTATATCAATTTTATTAACTGTCAACACTTCCGTTAAATGTTATAAATAAGTGGTCTGATTGAATGTGTTTAAATAGTTGGATAACCTGATTAACAAAAATTCAAAAATAGTGGTCAAAATGAAAATCAACTATAGTTTGATGGTTACTAGTATAATTTACCCTAAGTTTTAAATGGATCATTAAACTAATAAATTTTAAAACATTTTAAATTATATTAATATTAATACCTTAACATTGTTTTGGGTAGTCCTCTTCCACAAGTACTGATTTCATATCTACTAGAACTGGTGGCACTTGGGGGAATAGATGCTTTCCTCTTGGAATCTATCTTTAGAAACACAATTTGGGGTCATATAATTTTTATGATAGAAAAATAAATTAAGATAATATACATTACTATTGTAAAATTTACAATTAAGTTAAACAAAAATAAATTTATCTTGATATCAAAAGATAATGAAACTTTCACAGCTAAAATACCATTTAAGGAAATTAAAAATTAAGCATATTTTATAAAATTGGTATAATTTATTCATTTTTTAAAAAAAATAGCAAACTCGAAGTTTCATCAAACAACTTGATTTGATTGTTTGTTTAGAACTAAAGTATTTTCGACGATGAAAACTCACCAAAATTAAAATTTTAATCTGCAAGTGGAAGCCTCCAAAAACCACAAATTCATTTGAATCACCTTCACCAGACCTTGAAAATGCAACCATAACTCGAACCCGAAACTCCCGACCATGTTTTGAAGCCTCTCGTTTTCTGTTATAAACTGACATTCACACATGGAGTTTATGTCACTGGGTCCCATTAGCCACAAGCTCTCGTTAATGGCTTACATTCTTTTGCGATTCTTTGCCTTACTTCTATCCAAATGCTTTTCCTTTATAAATATATTTATATATATCCTTGCAAATTCGTCTTCACCATAGTAGCTTCTTGTTTCGAAACTAAGCAAAAAGAATCCCATTTCTCCTCCTTGGCGATTGACCAGAGATGTTACATAGGTTGGAGTCCCTGGAAAGCTGTAGTTATGACGGGATGAACATGACAGTGCTCGCGAGAGATGCAGCAAGGTTGAAATGGCAACAGCAATACTATGTGGTCCAAAAGAACAATCCTGTTGAACTGTGTGCAAGTGCAGTGCCTCAGTTGCAGGGTCTGATTGGAAGCAATTTGGGTAGTGGACAAATGGTTGAACTGAAAGGCCAGTAGTTTTTCTGGGTACTGTGATTTTCAGGAATTTGTGAACTTGCCAGTATCTGGACCGGAGTTTGGTAACAGTGAAAAACTGGATTTGGTGCCGCCTGAGGCTGCTGCATATTACTGTATTTCTCGGACTTCTAGCTGTCAGATGACAACGCTCAAAACTGAAGTTATGAAATGAAAGAGAGGATGTGATTTTGGAGAAAATGGCATCCACCACTGGCAGTGGAAGAGTTAGCTTTAACAAGAGAAAAGCTGAGGATTGTTTCTTTGTGATGCCAAGATTTTCTTTTGATTAATGAATGAATTGTGGTAGAGATTTAGTAAGTGCTATGAATTACTAGATCAAAGCAGTTCAATATATGGTGTCATTAATGCATTTGACTCTATATGTACAGGCTGTTGCAGACCATAAAAGCAAAGATAAGAAGATTAGAGGTAAAGAGGAAGGGGAATCTGAGGTGAAAACAAAATGCAGTACTGAAATTTCCAGGAATTCTTCAAAGGAAAACTCCAAGGCATCTGAGGTTCAGAAGCCGGATTACATTCATGTAAGGGCACGTCGTGGCCAGGCTACAGACAGTCACAGGTTGGCAGAAAGGGTAAGAAAACTTCTTCGAAATTCGAGTTGTAATTGCGGAGGAAAATTACTAGTAGTTTAACTGGTGTGGCCTTTTATCTGTGTTTGTAATTTACAGGCCAGAAGGGGGGAAATTAGTAACAAGATGAAATGCTTGCAAGATTGAGTCCCTGGTTGCAATAAAATCACAGGCAAAGCCGGAATGCTTGATGAAATAATCAACTATGTTCAATCTCTCCAAAGACAAGTCGAGGTACGATAGATATGCATGTCGATTTTGTTAACCTTGAATATTTTTGTACATCTCTCTGTTAAACTTATCAGCGTTGTAATTTAATGTACTTGTAGTTCTTGTCTATGAAAATTGCTGCTTTAAATTCAAGTGTTGAACTCGGTGTTGAAAATTTACCTTTGAAAGAGGTAAGAAACCAAGCTTTTGAATTGTCCTCTCTCTCTGTGCATTAAAGTGGCTTCTTTTATGACTGACTTGTGCTTAAATAATCATGCAATGAAGTTTCCTGCTTATGTCGCCAATTTTCCAGCAGCTGCTAAGTTGCCAGAAATGGCCTGTTTGCCCTGCTTTCCGTTGAATCCATTGCAAAAAGAATCTATAAAATTCATGTTAAATGAATCAATGCATCCTCCCCAAACTGAAGGAATTGCAAGTGCTTCTGTTTCTATCACAGAACAATCGCTTAGCTCATCCAGCATGACTGTAAATTTTCCTACTTCTATGTTTTTTAACTGCTCTTCTTCCCTGATGTCATGTAGATGTTCTCAAATGCCTTACATGTTGCAGAAGACGGTTATCGGATAGAGTAAAATTACAACTAATAATTTGAGAAAATAAAAATGAAGATAAAAAAATAACAAAATTTACGTGGAAACCCCTAAATAATATAGGGTAAAAATCACGGGCAACGGTAGAAGAATTTCACTATGAGAAAAATAGGAATTACAACTTCTCTCGATCTACCAATGAGAAAACAATAATAATTCTCTCTTGATAAAAAGGCGAAAACAACTCTAAAAAAACTCTCTAAATTTTCTAGTATTAGGAGAAAACTAGAATGATTTAAGATGATTTTGAAGCTAAATGAGCTAGGGTATTTATAGTTTAAGGACTAATTTGTAAATACCCTAAATTACAATGACTAAATTATGATTATACCATTTAGCAAATTTCAACAATTGTGTGCTCCTTTTGACCATTGCACCGATTTGTGCATTAATGCACTATTTTCGGTGCTGACTTTTAACAATCTCCCACTTGAATA